ATTTATTAATAGTAATGAGACAATTGCTTGGGCTAATAAATAGTGTACTGAGTAATGTCCATGCTTTGAGCCAAGTTCTTTAACAAATTTAAAAATGAATAAAGTGTTAAAAACTATAAAACACAAAAAACCATCGTCATCGCCAAGTTCTCTAAATCTATCATTAACTGATATTCTTAATCTTCGAAGTAACTTTTCTTCTGTTGAGTCTTATCTCTTGATATTTCTAAAGCTTTTGATAAAGTTTGGAATGCTGGTCTTCTCCATAAGCTTTCTTCTTACGGCTTTTTAGGTAACAACTTTAAGATCATTGAATCATTCCTTTCCAATCGTAGCATAAAAGTTGTCCTCGATAGACCGCATCAGTAGCTGGTGAACTTTAATTCAGATAAAACTTAATTTTTTTCAGCTAATCGTTGTAGCAATAATTTATATCTTTCTATATTTATGAACGGTTATGTACTCGATGAGTCATCTACCCTTCATCTAGGATTAACTCTTACGTCCGCTCTTTTTTGGAAACCTCATATCAAATCCATTTCAAAATTAGCATCTGCTAAGGTTGCGCCTCTTTATCAAGCTTGACACTTTTTTACTCCAAATTTTATTCTTTATCTTTATAAATCTCAAATCCGGCCTTGAATGGAATACTGTTTCCATATCTGGGGGCGGATCTTCCAATAATTCTCTTTCTTTTTTTAACAAGTTACAAAAACGTATTGTAAACATAGTTGAACCTGCTCTTGCAGCCAACCTCCAACCATTATCGCATCGTCGTAATGATGCTTCTCATTCTCTTTTCTACAAATACTACAATCTAAAGAATCTGGGTACTAATCTAAAGAACTAGCGTCTCTCGTGCCATCTACTAAAATTCATTCTCGTGCCATCTACTAAAATTCATTCTCGTGTTACTCATCATTCAATCAAGTCTCATCCTTTTTTGTGACTGTTCTTAAAAGTGCTCAAAAAACTCTTATTGGTCTAGTTTTTTTCCTCAAACATCAGTTCTTCGAAATTAGCTTCCTTCATCTTTCTTTCCTGATTCATATAATTTGCAATCTTTTAAGTCGTTGTTTCGTTCTACAATCTTCAGCTTTTCCCATCCAGTAACTTCCAACTCTAATAGTGGTTGCTTGCAGCTATAATGGAAGATATTAAAAAAAAAAAAAATTTAATTTTAAAACTGTAAAGAGATGATTTTAATTATTCTAAAGTATTATGGTACTTATCATTATAAAGTACGGGCAACACCAGCTTACATCATAAGTCAATATTCTTAGTAACTTATTTTTTAGTAATACAGTATTCTTGCTAAGTTTGCGCTGGTTCTTAAGATATTATTCAAAAAATAAAATTGAAAAAACTTAGTAAAGTAATTAAATGTTTGTTATTATTAAATATATATTTATATTAAATATTTAAGAAATGAGTTATGACAAGTTTTTTGACATTTTATTTCTACATCAGTTAAACCACATCTTCAAGTAACTCGAATCTTCAAGTATTGGCAGTTTTTCATTATATTTCATAATCATATCATAACCATAATCATGTTTCATAAATCAGTTTTTCATAAACCATCTCCAAAACTTTTAGAGTAAAGGTTTATATTTTAGTAAAGTTTTAACATTAAATATTCACAGTTATAATAAAATATATGAAAAATTATTCAGTGGAAGAGGTTACATAAAACACATTGTCAGAACCTTTGAGTTGCCCGGGTCAAAAATGGAGAACAAAGTCCCAATTTCAAACAAGAAATTACAAAATTTAAAGTTTTGTGTAAACAGCAAATACCTATTTTTTATACAACACATTGTATTTCTACCTTACTATTAATTCTCTGGATAAGAACAAATATGAATCAAAATAATAGTCTTAAAACCAATGAACAAAAAGTAAATCAAATCTTAGAATAAGGCGCTTAAATCTGATCTTTTTAAGCTTTTCTGGTTGCCCAAATTTTGATGACATTGTCATAACTTATCTTCAAAGTCAAATCTTCTTCATTCAAAATATCAGTAATGTTCTCCTGGACCATGATCGAACAGAGAAAGTTTTTTACAATCTTCAGTTTACTTAATGATTATTCACCCTTAGCAACTGCACAGAAATAGTGTTAAAAATTCGGAGCATAATTCAAATCTATGAAAAAAGGCGTTCATGCTTCTTCTCAAAGATTTGACTGAGTAACTGCAGTGGATTTTCTTCCTTAAAAATTGTTTTGCGGGCATTGTTAAAACGGCAAATTTTTTTAATGAGACTTTGTTCACATCTCTCGTATAAAATCGCGCAAGTTCTCAAGATTATTTTGAACGGAAAGAAATTATCCAACCTGATAAATGAAAAAATACTGCCAACTACGCAGTTTGCATCAAATCTTGAATCATTTTGCTGGATCAAACTAAACCAACAATAAAAACATTATTTTGTTTTGTCGTCGAGGAAATGAGCTGTGCTTTCTTTTAGTTGCGAGATCAGTTTCAAATTTGAGCGGTCCAGTTACAGTTACAACCTCTTAGAAAATTTGCAACTAAGAGCCCCTATTTCCTTTAAGATCTTCTAGCAGCTGTCCAATTAAACCTAGCTCGTTAGCAATGATGATGGCTTCAGATTATAGAAGATGACTAACGTTACTAACTGCAGTAAGGGTTTTGTACCAAAACGTGATTAGAAATTAAAATTAATATTGAGAGAACTTTATAATAAGATACCTAGAAAAACTAAATTTCTAGAAGCCAAGAAAAGAGTCAAATCCAAACTTTCACAAAGAATTATCCTTCATTTAGC